CTGTATCAAAACGGGGTACCAGTCAAATTTGTAACCCCCATATATATGAATAATTTTAGGTACAAAAATTACTTTTGAAAATGAAGGTGATGAAGGTGATCGAAATACAATAGCAGGTGATATTGTATTTATTATTCGAGATAAACCACATCCTATATTTGAACGTTCAAATTCTGATATAATCTATCGAGTTAAACTTACATTAAAACAAGCATTACTTGGTACATTAATAATTATTCCATTTCTTGATTCAACTAAATTACCATATCAATTACATACTTATCAAGAAATTTTAACATCACAAACAGAAAAACGTTTTCCAAATGAAGGTTTACCTTATCCAAAAAATCCAACTAAACATGGAGATCTTATTGTTAAATTTGATATACTTTTTCCAAAATTTCTTAATACTGAACAACGTTCATTAGTAGATAGTTGTTTTCCTAATTCGATAGATTTTTATCAACTACATGATTCAGTACTTCATACAACTATAATTGATCAAAATCAACAACAAACATTTACGTCACCACCATTACAAGAACAACAACAGCAACGACAACAAATGTCGCCTTCACAACATCTATTTACGTCTACTCCAATATCAACAGCCGCTTTCAAATCTCAATATTCATCTATCAATAATAATAATCAAAAACCTCCTCATCGATATTTCAATAGCAATGGACGTCATAAATCACCAGCATCAACTTCGCACAATTCTTATCAAAATAAATCAACATCTGTACGTATTCCTCCTCCGGTGCCACCACGACCATCACCAACTACACTTATAGGAACACATGTCAATGAGACTGTGTTTTAACATGTGTTATTCTCATCGATCAGTACTTCGTTTTTTTCTTTTCTTTCTTATTCAAAGTGTTTTTTAATTATCCTCTATATTGCAATGATGAGAGTAGCTAGATCAATTTCGATATATATTAATAAAAAAAAAAACCCCTACTACATATGTAATTCTTTTAACATCATAATATATCGATGATAGAAATGCTTAGATCAATTACTTGTTACAATAATGAAATAAAATAAAATAAAATAAAATAACAAAAAAAGAAAGAACATAGATCTTACCATTTTATGAATATTAGAGTATCAGAAATAGCGACAAGAGAATGGATAAATACTTAATGTGTGTCCTTTTTTTTTTTGTTGTGTCTTAGTATAGAGACGACTAACCAGATTCACTATTTACAAGAAACCAGTATATATATATATAGATATGTATATATAAATATAGATCTTTATAGTTGACGTCGGTTGTTGATTGTCAAACAGAAGAAAAACGTTATGCGATATTATATGCGTATATAGATGATTCAAGGACAAAGTATGTCAAGATGAAAGAATAGAGAAAAAAATATCTGTAAGATACTAATAAGCAACCATGCATCGATTATATCAACTGCTTGACATATACTATCTTAATTATGATCAATTTATATTTGTTAAATGAAAGTTTAGATTTTGGCTTTAAAAACAAAAAACGAACAAATGTGTTTTACATATTCCATAGTACAAGAAAACAAAAATTATAGATAACATTCATGATAAACGCATTGGAAGTCAAATGAAAGATATCAGATGTAAAAAAAAAAAAAAGGACTTGTCAATTGTCCATTAATTGATATATTGAATAATTATTTACTTCTCAGTCATTTTGATAAATTTTTATAATTCGAAATATTCATTCTATTGATATTCATTTGAGACTAATGAGAAAAAAAAGAACAAAGCTAAATTTGAAGTAATATACATTTATCCAAACAATTTTTATCATCATGTCAATATAATAAGGCTACATCTTTAATATTCTTATCCTATTTTCAATACAATAATCTTTAAACTTGTTTTTTTTTTTTTTCTAAATGTAAGCTATTCAATCATTTTCATGTAATTACATTGCAATAAAAATATGCTCTAAGGAACGGCAAGATTTTTCATCATACTAATAATCGCAATGTAATAATCAATCAATGTTTGTCTGACCTTCTGTCAACTATCACACATAGTACTAAACCAAGAATGTAGATTATTAGTCCAAATATAGAAATAACATAGACAAGAACTCTTACAATGTTGTTATATTTCATAATATATTCATCGCTATATAACTCTATCAACTCGAAACAGCTAATGTTAATTTAATCTTTTGATTTATAGAAAATTTAAGATACTCTCAATATTAAATTTGATCAAAAAAAAAAACGTTTTTGTCATGATTGGATGTTCAATAAAATTCTTGTATTTGATATATTCATTCTTTTTGAATAAATACTCTGCAAATCTAATTTTTTGTTAACAACACATAAAAGGACTAAGATTTTTTTTCTTCGTTCGATTAAAACTAACTAATCCTATAGTTAACGTTACATTACAATTACTGATTGCATAGAAATAAAACATTCATGTTGTTTATATTTATATGTAACTATGTATAGATATCTAAGAAAGACAAAAAAAAAATAAAATAGTAAGCATGTTCCCTTCTTGAGAGACTGATTTGATGATAGATATTTTTATTATGAAAAAATAAAAATCATGCAACATATAATTTTAGATTTTAATCACAGTTACTATGTGTGATCGTCATTTATTTATTATTATAATACCGAATGATTGGACAGTTATTGTTAATCATGATGATAATAAATCGAAGAAACATAGTGTAAATATTCAAAGATTTTTGTTTTTGTTTTTTTTTCTATTTTTGAAAACGAATAAATTATAGGATTAAATTATATTTTCTAGTATTCAAATGAACTAATGGATGATAAAACATCTCAAATCAATCGTGTTACGTCTGAAATCGTTGAATCTATACCAACAGTTTCATCTTCTCTATGTCAGGTTTTCGCTTAATTCATCACAAAAATTTCTTTATTTCAACATTATTTATTTCTCTTCGTTTTTTCTTTTGTTCTTTTTTATTATAGCTTCTTCAACATACTATTCTTGATAAATATGGTTTAAATGAATATTCAACATGGATTCTTTCGGCTAATCAAAAACAATATGAAGTAAATTGATAAAAACAAAAAAAATTTATTTAGAGAAGCATCTATATTGTTTAGGTAACATTTATTACGGAAATTGGTACATTTTGTGAAGAACTTCTTCATGGCTTATCTGACATAGGCATTGGTCGATTACCGGGTAGTCGAGTAGCGTATGATTCTTTTACTCATTAGGATATAGATTTTTTACTTCTTATTTTCAAGTGTTTTACCTCTTACATATACAATTAATTATTCAAAATTAACATCATGCCAAACTCCAACATTATGTAGAACATTAGTAAAATCAAAAGTTCCTAGAATTGATTCTAAAGTTGAATTATCTCATGTACTTCCTCATCGGTGATTATAAAAGTTAAATAACAAGAAAAACATACAAAATTCATCTAATTTATTGTTTTTTTTTTGAAGACAATCCCAACGACGTACATCTATTCGAACAGATTTTATACAAAGTATTAGATCACGTCTAATGGTTTTTCAAGTTGTTCAAGCTATTCGTGCACAATCGTCAATAACATTCGATTTCGTTGTTCTTGTTATAATTGCTAGGTTTTATAGTCATATATTATAGATATATTTTGATTTTATGATTTTTATTTATTTAGTATATTAGCTACTCTGGGTTTACTTGAAAATAGTTCTGTTATACTTGTTGCTTCTATGCTTATTTCACCATTAATGGTTTGTAATTGAACAAGAATAGTTCATAGGATTTTTTTTTGTTTATTTTTCTAGGGTCCTATTTTAGCTATTGTCTTTGGACTTTGTATTCATGATCGTTCATTATGGCGAACAGGTCTTCGATCAGAATTTCTTGGTCTTTTCATTTGTGTTTCATGTGGTGAGATGAACACTGATCTTATATGTCATTGTTTTGATATATTTTAATCCTGATTTTTAGGTTTTTTAATAAGTTTAGGAACATCTGTATGGGAAACTAAATGGGGTAGTACAACATCATTTCCAACAGCTGAAATGAAAGCACGGTACTCTAATTAATTTAGTTGAGTTTTTGATACATTCAAATAATTATTTTGATTTTAGTGGTGATCTAACACGATTATCAATTGGTAGTATGATTGCATTACCTTCAGGAGCTGGTGTTGCACTATCAGTTCTAGGAGGAAATGCTGGTAAGATTGATTAAATAAGTAAATAAATTAAATTATTATTTATTTATTCTTTGTCTTTTAAGGTTCATTAGTTGGTGTAGCTATATCAGCATCATTACTTCCGCCAGCTGTTAATTCAGTATAATTTCTATTGTATTTTCTTATAAATAAATCAATTTCATTCTTTTGTATTTAGGGTTTTCTATTAGCTTATTCATTATTAACAGTAGTTTTACCAAATACATTTGGTCGTTGTTCAAATGAAACTTATGTATGTAAAATTTATTTAAATCATTTATCTTATTATATAGAATTCATAGATTTTTGAACGTAAAATTTATCCATATAATAAAATGTTATGTCAAATATTTTTATCAAATGAATATCGTTCATTATATTCATGTAATATGTCAATTGAAACATTTATTTTAGCTATATCAAGTTTTCTTCTTACACTTGTTAATATACTATGTATAGTTTTATGTGGATTAATAGTCTTAAAAATAAAAGAAGTTACACCAAGTAATTCTAAAAATGAAAAACAACAATCTAATACAGATCGATTTTTTCATAATGATATACGTCGATTTCGTGATTATCAAAAAGCAATTCATAATACACAAGAATTTATTGATGAGAATAAAACTGAATTTTCAACATCATATCATACTGATGATAGTACAAAACGTGAATTACATAAACAATTACTTGCACTTGCTTCATTACATGATTTAGATATGACTAATCAAAATGATTTAACTTTAAATAATATTGAAGCACGAGATAAAGTTAAACAACTTTTTAAAACAATGATAGACTTTGATGAAGATGCTAAATGTCTTGATATTGGACTCAAAAATAAACAACCTTTATCGGTGAGTACTTGAAAAAAATGGATTTTTTTTTGTATAAAAATATTTATTTATCTATTAAAGATTTTGATGATGGATGTCTTACCACCTAAATGGACTGAAATCTTTCAACATCAACAAGTTCATAACGAAAATATTCAATCTCATAGATCACATCATTGTCATAGACCAATACATTATAACACTTATCAAGCATGTACAATTCATGATCGCCATCATCATCATCATCATTCGATACCAAATAGTCATTGTAAATTTTGTGAACATTTATATTCATCAAATCCTTCTATTATAAATACAACGTCATCTACAAATAAAGAGTATGAAACACACTTAGATGGTACACGTTTTCGTCTTACGAAAGCTACAATTCCAATGAATGATGAACAACATCCAGAATTAAATAGTCAGATGAACCTATAAAAAAATAAATGAAAGTTTTTTATTACATTTACATAAATTATTATTTCCATTCTGCTTTTTCTTTTTTTTTATTAATAGAATATAGTACAGTTCTTTATGCCTGTGTGAGTGTGTGTGTGGGTCTGCTTTTTACTCTCACATCCACATTCACACCTTACGAGTGATTCACATTTATTTCATGTATAGTAGTGTAGCTGAGTAGTTCAGTGTAGAATGTCTCATTCTTCAAGGATGCAATAGAAAATTCTGAAAATTGTATCTTGTATAGAACCATGTATGGGCTAAAATCTGGGATAGTTTGATTTGAAATAACTACGAAGGTCTTAGGAATATAACATCGAGAAAATTTTCAGTCTCGATAGAACCATGATGAAAAGTTACGTCTCCAATGAATCGTATATAGGTAGATGTTCCTCGCCTTCCTCTATCGAACGATGAGAACCTTAGCTTGATAGCTCAAAGTGATCAAAAGTTGTTCAAAAAATGGTCGTTAGTACTTTTTAAAAAATCCAGCATTAGTCTAAAAAATACGAATTAATAGTAATTTTAAGGAACCATTCATAAACAACTTCCAGATAATAATCGCCTTTTTTTCATTCGTTCGAACTTTCGGATTTATTTGTAGATGACGGATCATAGAATTATGAGAAAAGATTGTTTTTCCAAAATGCTGGTCAAAACCAATTTACCTTGAAAGTGTCGCAATTTATGCTTCAAAAAGTAATCAATGAATCGCAACGAATTTTCAAATGCCCAGCAGTGTCTGATCTTCTCTTACCTTGTGTAGTTTTTATTGATACACTTTTTTCTGGACGTTCCTAATGATCAGTTCCTAATTTATTCATTCTAGGTAAAAAAAAAAGCTTCAACCTATAATACATTAAAAAATATAGAAGTTTAATGAATAGTCTCCATGTATAATTAAATGTCATTAGTATAAAGACACAATGAAAAGTCGTCCAAATGATCATTGTCAATTCGTACTTGATAATAAAATTCAATGTTTATTTGAAAATCGTTTTGAATTAGATGATACAGTTATTTATGATTGCATTTGTCGACAACGAAAAAAAATTCGAAAAAGTAACTAATGAAGAATTACCTTGTAAATTTATTCATCTATTGGATTAAACTATAACTATCAGTGAAAAACAATATTTAGTACTCGAATGTGAAACATAGAAGTCTTTGAAAGATTAATCATTAAAATTAAGTTGTACATTCAGTAAAGAAATTAGTAAAATTATATGGTAAAAACATGTCGACGAAGGTAATCACTTTATAGTCATAAATGATGGACAAATTTATTGATTAGAAATAAAAGGATAAAAAATAATCGATGTTGCAATGTATACTATCAAACTTGAAGATAAACAACAGTCATATCACGTTTTTATTAATGGCAAATTCAATATTCTTGTATCTTTTTCGTGATTCATTTATTTTTTGTTTAATAGAAGTTCCAAGCGATATTAATTCTCATTTCGTTAAGTGAGATGAAATGTGTTGAAGGTACATACGAGTTTCATGTTAAATCAGAAACAGACTTACTCTAATATTGCAAAAGAAAATTGATCATGAATTGTCTAAACATGTTCGGAGATGCTCATCTCATGAACTAGCACGTGCGATCTTTGTGCTGATATTGATGTTACACTCCATTGATCTTTCTTTCCTTTTTCCTTTTTATCCTCTCTCTATTGTTCTCTCGTATGTTCATCTCTTCCTTCCTCTCGCTCTCCTATATAAGCATGTGTTATGTGTGAAGTAGCTAAATAAACATCATTACCGAGAGTAGTGCCGAGCTACTCAATTCAGTCTGTCGTTAGTCATCTCATCAATACAGTTTTTGAATTTTCCTGACAGCATGAAAATGCTGCCGAGCATTGTCTCAGAACAAAACTCGCTGAAATACTTACAAAAAAATTGTCTAAAGATTCGTGCTACGTGTTCATAAAGATTAGACCAATGAAATATAATGCATTCTATTTTCCTCTTAGTCATTCAGTTTTCGTGTCTTTCTAACAGACAGTCAAAATTTATTTTTAGCCACATATGAACTTAGTGATAAGAAAAAAAAACGAAAACGACTACAGTACTCTGTGTACACTGAATACTTGCAATGAAGGACGTTCGCAAAACTAGTGATACACCAATTCCAAATCTTGGCTTAGAGCGGGGTAGGAATGTGCGAGCCACATAGTCTCGACTGATATAACTGCATCTACATCCTCCTCACACCCACACTCCCGCACACTTATACCCACATTTAAGGCATGCAGCTTTTTCTTCTATCTCTATATTGATGATGATTTATTGAAGTTCATTAATGATATTTTTGGTAATATTTAGTTTTTTGTACTTGTTTGCGTCTTTAATTAAATTCGCTTAGGATAACAAGAAATATCAAATCTTCTGAATTTGAAATCGTTGGATGCGATGATTGTTAGAATCTGATATATAAAGGTTACCATATCGATCAAAGGCCAAACCTTCAGGAAAACTCAATTGGTAGACGCCGTTTCCAGGACCGTTTCCACCAGCAATGACACTTCCGCAGGGTGCACCATCGTACCAGCGAATCACTCGATGGTTCCAACAATCTGCTACATATAACGCACCAAATCGATCAACAAGCAGTCCTGCAGGAAAATTCAATTGTGTTCTACATAGTCCTTTGCCATGGCCACCTGCTACAGCAACACCTGTTGTCGCACCGTTGCTCCATTTCATAATACGATTATTCCACATGTCTGACACATACACCGATTGATCTCGTCCTACAAAAAATATACGTCGGATGATTGAGTTGATTTGGACGAGAACCTTGTCCATTGCCACCTGCCACTACTGTTCCATGTTGATCACCTGCCCGATAGCATTTCACCGCATGGTGTTCAGTATAAGATATATAGAGAGAGCCTTCATCATCTACTGCCAACCCACAACATTCGACATTATCGATGACTACCTTCCCATATTTATCTAGTCCATTAGGTCGTCTACAACACTTTTTATTTCCCATAACTGTCTTTCCACATTTGCATCGTCTATACTTCAATTGCAAAACTCGTCGATTGTGATAATCGCAGATGAAAAGACTCTCTAATCGTCTTCTTAGAACCACACTTGAAGGCCCACATAGACGATCACATGCGTAACCACTTGTAGTTGAGCCGACTATCGCTATACCACCTGTTGCACCTGGATAGTGTTTCATAATCCGATGATTCGAAGCATCAGCAATAAAAACAACTTGATTCTCATTTACACAAAGACCTTTAGGAGAATGAAGCCTATCGGATGTAGGACCGACGCCACGACCTCCAGCAACAGTGTGAGCATTGGATGTCCATGTGGCATTGTGTACACAATCAGGTACATCTGTGAGCAAAGAGACAAATCATAGCATTGACAACCGAGAAAGCTCTTGATTGTATCAGAAATTCGACCTTAGAGTGCAATCTACTTCACTGCTCGTTTTCGTTTATCGATGAGTGTGTCGATACTAACAATACTTTCTTCAGAATAGTACTGTTTAAAATGATTCTTGCAAATAAAAAAAACAAGAGCAGAGGATACTTGTCTGTATTATTCTTTGCGATTAATTCAAAGTGTTTTCTCGGACTAATACCTCCATGGGACGAGGCTCCTTATTTATACTGTGTTTGAAAAATCAGACTAATTTTTCTCTGTGTCATGGAGTCTAGTAGAAGTCCATTTGTCATCAGAAATGTTGCCATTACGAAATTTTTTATCGCAGCTTTTCGAGGTTCAAGATAAAGTGGGCTCGATGGAACAAAAATTTTCGGGGGTTCTGAAACCCTAATTTTTACTGGTATTCGGAAAATATCAAAAATGGAGACTGATTTAAGTGATGCCTATCTTAGAGACGCGATTCATATGTGTCACAAAACACCTGATCTTATACAGATCATCTCCGCATAAACAATCCTGTTGTCTTATTTCATAAATTGATGCTATACAAAGTTGGAAGTTTAACGGCAGTAACAGTAAAAGGAAGTAGCGGAAGTTATTTTTTCCAAATCTATTTGGACTTTTCGTCAAGTCGAGACATGTTTGTCTGTACCCTATACAGTGAAATTATGGTTTATTGTATAGGATTTACATATTTAAATAAATCTCAAAATAAAATAATTTATTTTCGGATTAATTCTCTTCTCAACGTATTCATTCCAATCAAAAAAAAAATTTATTGTAGGGCTCATCAAAATAACTCTGTTAAATTAAATAATTTTCTAACAGACCATATTTCTTCTGGTGGATATATTCTAGACATATATATCTAGACTGATATTCATCTTCATTATACTCTCTAATATTAACTGAGCCTCTGACGCATTTATTCTTTTGTTTCAGCGAATATTGTATCAAACGAGAATGGATAGGTAATGCCAAGGGGGAAACAACTGATTTAAATCAGCTGAAAATCAAAATTAAATCACATAAATCACCTTAAATCATTTTAAATCAGTTTAAATCACAAAATCACAAATCGCTGTTTCCTCCTTGGGGTATCACTTGAGAGTGCGGCTGTGAGAGTTAAAAAGGAAAACATGACACTGACAGTCATCCATTTCCACACCCATAGCCTTTGTATCATGTTCATCCGCGACTCTATCCTATGAGAAGATGTTTGAGGAGTCGTTATCGAAGAAAACGTAAATGAAAAAATAACCTTTCTCTATTGCATATGTCATTTGAGAAGAAAAGAATGATATAAACGTCATCTTGATTTGTTCTTCCCATCCATCTTACTCAAATTCTGACCTTTGATAAGATATGAGTAACAAGAGATTCAATTTCAAATCGATTATAAATGATTCATGACAGGAAACAACAGCTTACAATGACGAGTGAAGTGTCATCTTTCTTTGGAATAATTATTTTATCACATTTTCATATAGTTCTTCCTTCAATTCGTCGAAGAGCGTTGACTAATAGCAATTTATGCTGATGTTCTCATTCATTAGTTGCTTGAAACGGAGTTCAAATGCAACAATAAGAAATGATGGTCCAGGTAGTGACACAAATCAATTGAAATTTCTATTTGGAATGAAGTTTGACTCAAATTGTAATATATATGTAGCAGATACTTGCAATTACCGCATACAAAAATTTAGCTGCAGTCAGTGCATAGGCTTACATACAGAGATAAAAATGCACAAATTTCAAACTGCTAGATGATGCTGTTTTCTTTTAACAGACAGATCTGAAAAGGTCAAAACCATCTGATGATTCCTTTAGCCAGAATAAAATCGCGAAGTGGCATGCTTGATATCACACATATTAATTGTTATTTTAGATATTTGTTGCTGTTCTTAAGAAGCTATGTATGGTATATTTTCAGTGTGTATATTTTATTAAAATTAAAAGTTGAAAAAAATACAGAATAAATCAAAAGAGAGAAATAATCAAGAATATGAGAGGAGGAAGCTAAACAGTCAACAATATTTGCTGATGTTGAGGATGGTTATTGAGAATGTTAGATTTTCGACGTAAAATTGTGTTTATGCCATATTTCTTATAAAGAAAAAAATAATGAGATAATTCAGTACTGTAAAATACATGAAGAATGATAATCTCAAAAAAGAATATACGAATAGTGAAACAAATTACCATCGCCACATTCTTTGAATGAGTTATCATTGAAACAATAGTTTTATACAATATACCTGGTTTATTTCTTGAATTAACAAGTACAATAACCCCACCGCTTACCCCGTATCTTCTGGCAATAACCACAACAACAACGGGGAATACCACTACAAGCACCAAAAGAACGAACACAACTACGTTTATTAATTAAATGACTGAGAGCGCCATTGCTCATCTGAGCTTCAATTGCCACTGCCTGTGCCATATCGTTTTTCCCCACCAACACCAAGAGGACAATTAAACAAACCATTAAGCTGGCGTTCTGCATTATTATCTGTTACTCTTCGATTTTTGATGAGAGAGAGTGTGTTTATATGAATATAAGTGAAAATGTATATGGTATATGTGTACTGTTGTGCTTCAGGTCTTTATATACACCAGTGGAGCACTACGGAAGAATTTACGAGAAAAAAAATGTCTAAAAAAACGAGATATGACGCGCTGCTTTATCTCGTAGAAAAAAAAACAATAACAATTTTTCCCTTCTCTCTTTGTTTTTGATAAGCAAAAGGTCTCAGTGAATCACTCTCACAGCGACACATAAATGCATTAAAAGAAGTTTGTTGGTGCAGTTTCTTTGAACCTGAAATATAGAACTCATATACCTTCTCTAACTTACTTTAGCTAATGTAAAATAAAACTCAAATTTCTTAAGTTTCTTTCAAGATTATAAGTTGATTAATTTTGAGAAAAGAGTTTAAGAAATGTGACGCCTGTTTTCCTTGGTTGCTAAGCTCTGTAATGGGATACCTTGGTTGCTATAATCTGTAATAGGAAGGAGAACGGGAGTGGAGGAGCCGAAAAACTTCGACTTAAAACTTACTCTCACTATTATGTTCTTCGAAAACATATCGGAGTTCTACAAAACGACAAGGAAGCCAGGAAACGACGAAGAAGCTCAATAGATCTCTTCAGTAAATCTCAGTTGACATTATGTCTCCAGGAAAACTAGTCTTGATTACGTAGTTTTTGACAGAAGTTCGTTCTAGAAAAAATTGCTCCGATGTATAATTTCATTGAAATATGTTTTCAATTACATATTATTCAGCAAAAATTTGGCTATCTAAACGCGTCACAGGAAATATTCTTAATTGATTGAGTCGTTATTGTGCACAATAACGGCATTATACTGCCTTCTTATAACTATGCCTTGAAGTGCGTCCATAGTGCCGCTACCTAGGGACCACTTTTAAACTGTGATCAATCACGTACGACATCATTCTCATGAATTTTGAAAAGTAACAGACAGTCTTAAATCATTAATTACTTTTGTCTAACTACATGCCATATTTCGTTTTAATTGCAGCCGTTGAGAAGAATGATATCATAAAAATGCTGTGGCAGATTTACGTAACTTTTCAAGGAGTTGGTTGGCTGTGAAATATATTATAATTAAAGGCTATATTTTATTCTGTTTCCTGATTTGAAATTCTCGCATATGAATATGAAGAAATTGATGTATTCTTGATCAAGTGATGATCCTTAGAAGATTTGAAATTTTTACACTTTGATATTCTCGTCTGTTATGATAGGGGCATTAACCCTTTACGGCCGGATGTTGCCAAATGGCAACATTTTGCCAATATCATCTTAGGATTTATCTTAAAGTGATGAGATATAGTTCCTTAAGCGATTTGATAATTAATTACAGGCATTTTAGGGCAAACCTATGCCTTTTCAAGAAAGAAGAAAGCTATTATTGACGAAAGGGATGAATTCTTCCGTCAACACCCGAAACAGCCCCAGAGTCGAAATGATCTGTTTTCATTTGTGCGAGCACTCGATGCGAGAAGTAACTAGTGGTTAATTTTCCTCTCCAGATCCATTATCTATTATATCAATAAGATGAATCATTCAGTTTACTCGAAGAATAGAGTACAAGAATGTTGCCTTTTGGCAACATCCGGCCGCAAGGGTACAACAAGTTGGGAATATTGAATTATTTTTCCTCGATGAAAGTCCAATAATTTGCTGTTAGTTTTAGTCCAGATTATCAAACAAAAGCATACTTTGTTTATCTGCTCACCTCTTACAGCCTCAATGTACGATATATTCCCATAATACTCAAAAAC